GCCCCTGCCCCGCTGCACCCCCTCCGTAGCCGTCGGGCAAGCCCGCCAGCTGGGCCCCGTAGCTCGAGGGGTGAAAGTAGCCCCCATCTCCTTCGGACGCACCCACAGGGTAATACTGAGCAGGCCCAAAGCTGGGGCTGCAGGCGGCTGGGGCGTACCCCGAGGGCGCGGAGTTGGGGAAGGGCACCCCCAGCGCTGAAGGCGGCTGCTGGGCCGGGTACCCCGAGTTCTGCTGGAGGGCCTGGCCGGGCAGTCCCCCACCATAGCGGCCCTCGCCTGCGAAGCTGTCAACCGCCTGGCCGGAGCTGGGGGGAAAGGACGTCGGGGCGCTGTGAACACCGTAGACGCTGGGTGCCCGGTTACAAAGTGGGTGCTCTAGAAAGGAGTTCATCCTATTACAGTCCATGCGGGGCGGCCGCAGGAGGGTCGGCCCGTCCGGGTCCGGGGGAGACACCCGCTTGCCCTACAACCTCTCGGCAGTATGTCACGGGCCGGCTCGCATCCATGGCCGGCCAGCTCGCCTGGGCAGCGCTCCCCGGGAAGGGTAGGGGTGGGGGTGGGGCGCATGTGATCGCTGCCGGGCCAATGGGCTGAGCAGGCCCGGGTTTGGCAGCCCCAGTGCCCATCCATCACCCCCAAGCATTAGCATGACAAAGACGCTTCAATCACCTACAGCCCATCCATCTGAGGGCGACATGGTAGCGTCAAAAACATCTTTCTTCAAAGACTTTTGGAAAGAAGGGACCAGAAGGGGGGGTGAAGAATATTCAAGACTTTCCTCCCCTCCCAACCCCCAAGGCCTTCAATAGGCTCCTGGGTTATTAGATTTGGATAAATTCAACCCAGCTGCCCCTCGCTCTTCCCACCCCACAAGATGCCTCCCCCCAAGGCTGTGGGCCTGGAGGTGGGGAACCCGGGCTCCTCTCCATGTGTCTTTCCCCCTATTTGTCTTGGGGTGATGGGTTAGGACAGCGCTGAGGGGTCTTATCTCAGGCCAAATGGATGGGGGGGGTGCGACGACACCTCTGGGTGTGAGGCAGGGTCTAGGATTCCAAGAATTCATTCAGTCAGGGGTGGAAACATGGCATTTCAGGAGAGCAAGATGGACCCCAGCACTGTGGGAACTGTGGGGAGGAGGCTGGGAAACCCATCCCTCGCTCCACCAGGGCTCTCCCTTCATCCATACATCCATTTCTCTCTTTATATTCTCTGTATCTCAACCCATCGCTCTGTTCGTCCATCTCTCTCCATATTTATATTCGTCCCCTACCTATCCATCAACTCATCTTCTAGATGTATTTATCCTCTCTCTAGCCATCCATAGCTGTAGCTGGCTCACTCACTCAAACTTAAATAACTCGCTATGTCTCTCCTGAGAGCCGCAGGAGCGCATCGAGACGATGTTTACAGCAGGGTGAAGAGGAGGAGAATTTTTATTCTCTTTCCAGAGTGTTTAAAATTTGTAGAGCCCCTGCATGCCTCTGGCCCCTCCCACTCCTCCCTGCCTCACCAACCAGCATCTTCTTCCCAAAATACTAAAACATTAAAACACCCAAGCCTGAGATCGTATATTTGATACCAGTAAAGCCTGAAAGATTACTCCAAGTGTTCAGGAATGTTCTAGACCAGACAAGGGGGGTTTGCTGGGAGGATGGGAGGATGGTGTGGAGCCCCTCAGGCCGGGAATTCTGAGTCACCCCTCTCTGCTCTGGGTCTGTCGGGCTGGCCTGGGGGAGGGGAGACAGGAAGTGGCTTCCTCGGCTCTCCCGGTCTCTGGATGGGCCCAGAAGAGGAGCCCTGAGGTAGAGCCCATTGATTTCCCTCCTCCGGACTCCCGGACAAGAGCTCAGAGGCAGAGCAACACCCACACTCATTTGTAACCTGTCAGGGTGTCTGCCTGGCCCGAGGCCTGAGGCCAGAGCCAGGGCAAGTCCAGGAGGGCAAGAGTTCAGGGAGGGACCGCTGTAAACAACTCCGTGCTGGAGAGGAAGGGAGACAGGTGTGGGGGTCCAGGAGGGTCTTCGAAACGTCTCCAGTTTCCGCATCCTCAAACAGACAGGGTGTGTGTTCACCCTTCCGCAAGGGACCCGAAGTTGTCTCTCCCTCTGAGTCTCCATGCCTTTCTTGTCCTCCTAGGCCTAGACTGGCCCCTCCCGCTCTCTCTCTCCTGTGTCACTAGAGGTGAATGCCTTCTCTGCCCTGGTAGCCCCAGCTGGGAAAGAAAGATCTTCCGCAGGGTTTTGTCCCCTCCCCTGCCTGTGCCACTCTGTGTTTGAGCTGTGAGGGTGGGTCCCGCCATTCACTTGTCCAACAGAGGGTGTGGGAGTGGAGGGGAAATGTTCCTTCACCAAGGGGATGAGGGCAGACAGAGGAGAAGAGAAACAAGATAGAGGAAGCCTGGCTTGCACAGAAATGGAAAAGAAAATGATTATTGGGATGGAACAAACAGATTTCTTTCTACTTCAACCCCTTTGGGAAGGAGTCTGTAGCTGCTCTCAGATGTCTCCTCTCTCTCTCTCTCTCTCTCTCTCTCTCTCTCTCTCTCTGTCTCCCTGAGACAGGATCTCACTATGTATTTCAGGCTGGCCTTGAACTCACCATGTAGACCAGGCTGGCCCCAGGCTGGCCTCAAACTCACACCAATCCTCCTGCCTCAGCCTCCTGAGTGCCAAGATTACAGGTGTGCGACACCGCCCTGGCCTGTCCCCTCATTTAAAGATGTCTTCAGCAGAGACTGGGACCTTTGAGTGTAGGGAACTAGGATTTGCCTTCTAACCCCAAGTCTAAGGTAGGCCTATATCAGAGCCAGCCACCCTGCTTCTGTGTGTGGAGAAGACACTGCTGTCCACCTCCTCTTCCTCCCAGGGAGAAGCTGCTCTCCCCATCCCTTGCTCTCCTAATGAAGGGGCCAACTTGAGGCCTAAAAGGAGAAGCAAACGCCCAATCTCTTTAATGAAACTACACATGTCTGCCTGGGAGTTGAAGAGATGCATTTCCCCTGCCACAGTTGAGGTCAGCAGGTAGTCTGCACTCAATGAAAGGAAGATAAGGCTGGAACAAAAGTACCTCACATTACCCTGTCAAGCTGGGCATGGTGGTACACGCCTGTCATCCCAATACTCAGGAGGCTGACGCGGGAGGATTGCTGTGAGTTCCTCGGCTACATAGAACAAGGCCAGCCCGAACTATGTAGCAAGGTGTTGTCTCAAAAAAAAAAAGCAGAGCTGGGCGTGGTGGCTCATGCCTGTAATCCCAGCACTCGGGAGGCTGAGGCAGGAGGATCGCTGTGAGTTCGAGACCAGCCTGGGCTACATAGTGAGTTCCAGGTCAGTCTCAACTACATAGTGAGGCCCTGTCTCAAAAAAACCAAAAAAAAAAAAAAAACAGAAAAAAAAATTTTAAATTATACTGTCAATGGCAGTGATTGCTTTGATCTAGGCTCTTCAAGTGCACTGTGCCCTCCAATGTGCCCCACCTTCTTTCTTTCTGTGGGTACATTATAAAATTTCCAAGAGCTCAGAGGTACAAGGACCTGAGTTTGATGATCTTCAGTGCAAAAAAAAAAAAAAAATCCAGCCAGGTGTGGAGATGAAGACCTGTAAACCCAGCACCCTGGGAAACTGAGGCAAAAGGATCGCAAGTTGGGGCCCAATCTGACAATCTGGGTGTCTTACTGAGACCCTGTGTCAGGGTGGAAGGTGAGGGCTGTAGCTCGGTGTGAAGGCCTCAGGTTCCACCCCAAGTACCAAGCAAACAAAAGCCCTTTCTGAAGTTCGCACTGCTGTCCCCAACCTGAAGAAAGTACTAGAACCCAGCAGCTCTGGCTCCCTAAGTTGCCAAGCTGCCTTCTCCTTAGAACCTTGGGGGGCTGGAGCAGCCGTGGACTGTAGGGTTTTCTGGTTGGCCAAAGGAAACACCAGAGGGCCTGGGCTAGACCTGACACCAAAACGGTGTCGATGTCCTGGCTTGTGTGATCTCCGTAGACGCACGCACGACTGAAATGACCTTGGAAGGTTGTTGGTCTTTATAACGCTGACCAACCTTGCAGCCCAAGCTGCAAACCAGAACTGGGACGGGAGAGGAGTTTACACCTAGGTTCCGGGTCCTTTCTGTGAAGGAAGCTGCTTGGGCTGGGGGTTGGCAGGAGACCACCAGTTGTCTCATTAGGCCTGCAGCGACTCTGTCTGCCCGCATTTAGGAGGCCAAAGCCAAGACCACAGTTTGGCACTTTAAACAAGAAGGGTACCCAGGAAGAGCCGAGGATGTGGTTCAGGGGCACCACACCTGCCTCGCAGGCACAAAGTCCTGAGTTTGATCCCCTGCCCCCCCCCCGCCACAAAGGATACCCAGGGTTATGATCTGGTTAGTAAAAGAGATGGCTTTTTGTTGCTGTTGTGGGGAGGATAGAATCTGAATTAAGCATTGTTTATTTGAAGGCAGGCTAATTAAGCTGTCAGGAATCTGGTTGAGAACCTTCAAGGTGGATGGTGTACATTGTAATGGGGTACAAGATTGGCGGATATATATATATATAATTTGTTTTGTTTTTTGGTACCAGGGATTGAACTTGGGACCTTTTGCTTGTGAGGCAGGCAGGGGCACCACTGAGCTAAATCCCTGGCCCTAAAATAAGTTCTTTATCATGTGCAAATTTCATTCAGAATGGAGAAGGTAGGCTGTTTAAGAGAGGGGTTTTCTTCTAGGCTGGAGGAGATTTTGAAACTAAGGCCTAATATTTAATAGCTGTGAAAACATACACGAAGGGCTGGGGACTTCGCTCAGTGGCACCCTGCCTGCCTTGCAAGCGCAAGGTCCTGAGTTAGATCCCTGGTACCAAAAAATACAAAAAAAAAAAAAAACATAAATGATTAAAATTATCTGAGGAAAGTTTGTAGTCAACTATTAGAACTTCTTGATTTTCAAAATATTTGGAGAACAGTCTCTAGGGAGGAGGTGGTCACCGCTTCCTTACCGGTATTTGGCTTAGAAATTGTCTTTCTCAGAGGGCAACAAAGGGCTGAACAAGACTTCTGGGATTAGGTTTGGAAGAGATCAGCTGGACGTAGACTTCTGGCCCGCAGAAAGGATGGAGGACATGATTCAGTAATGGTTAGGATCTTTCTAAAAGGACAAGTTTGAGCGACATGAAGAATTGAAATAACTTTCTACTTAACTGGATTTATCCAAATGTGATGGTTCGGGGCAAAATATTCACTTTGGAGACTTTATCAGATACTCGTCCCCCTGAATTTGGAGCAGAATGACTGTGCAGGCCCTGCAGACTGTTCTGTGGTGGCTGGGACCTAAAGAAGATTGTAAGGGTTCACCCTCCATTCTGTCCCCCGAGGAGGGAACAGCGGTTAGGTCCTCTTGGTCAGAGATACCTGCCTGGCAGCGTGGCTACTG